AAAAAAAAAAAAAAAAGACCACCAAGAAAAGTTTATAACAATGTAAGTTGATCATTGTCTAACATGCATATACCTTTGCCAATGTATCCTTAAGAATTATATCAGCAACTCATATATACCCAGTATTTTCTCTCTGGAACAATTTTCTCATCTCTGCTCTTTCTTCCTCCTCTTCCCCTTACCTCTGTATATACTTTTATACTACCTAGTGTTTTAGATGTCAGTGAAATAGTGATCTCCTCAGAGAGAATATCTGGAACTAAACACCTCCACCCCACCCATGCCAGTCTAAAGTGGGGTCCCTGCTACTAATTTCCTCACAGCACCCCTTACCCTGTCACTTGCTTAAATTCAGTATTTATTTGAATGATTATTTAATCATGTTTCTCTTCACTATTACAAGCTTAAAAGTACCAGAATTATGTCTGGTTTTGCTCACTGTTGTGAACCTGGCACATAGTAGGTATTCAGAGAATATTTCTTGGCTGAATGAAAATATTCAGAATTCTGCATGGCTTGTAAGATAGACCAAAACTGTGAACTGCAATGCAGTCCATCCAGAAGCATAAGACGATAAACTAACAAGAGTGATTGTTTTTGTTACTTACCATCTCTTGCAGAAAACATGAAGCTATCAGGCTTTGATACCCTCTGAAGTCTCAAAGTCATTATTATTTAGTTGGATAATAATTGATGGACAACTTTCATGATGACTATGTAATATAAGAAACACTATATCATCAAAAATTATTTTGGAGTAACATTCAGCACGTTTTTTCTTGCTTTTATTTCTTCATTTTCATTTTCACTTTATTGCCTTGCAAAACAAACTGTAAATTCCTTCAATAAGATTTGAAAATCCACTTGAGAACTGACTATAAGAGCACTAAGAGGTCAATTGCTCAGGAGTATATTATTCCTATATTCTACAATTTTGATTTCTCTGTATTTCTTTTTTTCTAGTATTTGAGAGGGAATCTCACTCTGTCACCCAGGCTGGAGTGCAATGGCATGGTCTCGGCTCACTGCAACCTCTGACTCCCAGGTTCAAGTGATTCTCCCACTTCAGCCTCCTGAGTAGCAGGGGCTACAGGTACGTGCCACCATATCCAGCTAATTTTTGTATTTTTAGTAGAGACGGGGTTTCACCATGTTAGTCAGGCTGGTCTCCGACTCCTGACTTCCTGATCCACCCGCCTCAGCCTCACAAAGAGCTGGGATTACAGGCATGAGCCACCGCGCCCGGCTGATTCCTCTGTGTTTGAACACTCAAAGCTAAAGGTGTGCCTGGGCTCCTTTTAGTATGGAAAAGTTATTAACATGTGTGAATAGTTCCATAAAGCCCTAGACATTGGAAATTAATGAGAATATGGATAAATTTTATTTATATGTGTTTCTGAAGGTTTCCATCAAGTGATTTCAATGTTTTTAAGAAATAATTTTCCATCAATAACAGATACATGTCAAGATGGTCTTTAAATGTTAAACAATTTTTCTCAATAATTTTGCTGAAGTCTTCTGTGTTGTTTGTCCATATACAGCACCTCTGTTGAACAGTTGATTCTGATTTTAAATATAAGGGTTTGGATAGAAAGGAAATAAATTCTGTTTAGGCACTATGAGATTCCTATATGTTACTATTTCAACTGTATTACTCCTCACAAAAATCTGTGAGATAGAATCTATTAATCTCATTTTATAGAAAAGAAGGTTGAAGATCTTAGAGCTCAAATAACTTTAATCCCAGAGATCAGGTCAATGGCAGAGTTGGGCCCAAAGTTCCTGCAGTTTCCTTTGGACTACACTACTTTCACTGGATACTTTCAGACCAGCGCAATTTGCATGACAGCTCCTCTTTCAAAGAACACCAACCAAATCGTCCCTTCCTTCAAAGCCCTATGCCACTGGGCTCCATGCCTCAAGTTGGGGAATGGCTAAATAGATTGGAATAGTAGCATTTATTACACAAACCCTATTGTGTTCAGCACAGCCACTTTCACTTTTCAGTGTAATTAATCTCCCCAGGGCAAGTGTTTTGTGGGCATATATGCTATGGGAAGACCAAGCTTTATGCTTATGTATCCTGTGGCAAAAACAGATCTTCCCAATGATGGGAAAAAGTTGTAATAACTTCAGCTCTTGGTCTCTAAAGCTTTCAGGAGCCTCTAATGAAACATATTTCTACTTTTTTTTATTGTTTACTGGCCTTTCAGATTAGAAACCTCCCATGAGGTAGTTCCTTTCGTCAAGACACAGTGGAATGTAGATGATGCTCTCATGTGTTTAATGACAATGAGATAGAGGGAGTAAGAACATCACATGCATCCACTCTCAGCTATGTCTAAAACACTATGGTCAGTTCTCTTGTTAGCCACTTATCAACCCAGCTTTCCAGACAGTAAAGCCACATGGTGTACCTTTTAGTGTATCTGGCAAGTTCGCGATGAATACTTCATTGAAAAATATTTGAACAATTGGTGACTCTTAGATAAAAAGATGTCTAGACCAACAGCCGACTATAAAGATAACTGTTCAGATGCTGAGTCAGATTCTACCTAATGCTCTTATATTTGTGCATGTCCCAATCAAGAATGGGAGAAAAAAAATTGAGAATTTCCATTGCCTTAATCGCCCCATGTTTCATCTATCTCTTTGTTCTTAATACTAAGCAAGCAACTGATGGAATTTCTACATTGCTGTTATTATTACTTAAAGAAAGCTGTAAGATTAAATAGTATTAAGGGCAGTGGATGCTAGGAATACAAGGGACACCATGGGCATACAAGAACAGTAAACAAAAACGTGGATGCAGTGAACAAAACAATAATGTTAATTCTTTCATGTACTCCTGATGCTGAAAGGCCAAGGTAATAAGATGGTGGGTCTAATGATTCTTATACAATTTTAGGTCTATGGGACCTATAGACCAACTTGGCTGATTTTTTTCACTGAATTTGTTTGAATTCTCATGGAGACACCACCATGAAACTGAAAATGTCTACTTGACTTAATTTTATTAGCTGAAAAATACCAAGAAAGCCTTTTTTCATGTCATGACGTTGTTTAAAAATTGGAGGGAAGCTTTCATTGCAATCTGTAAAAAGAAAACAGCAGATCTCAGCAGAGTGGCTGACAGGTGACACAAATACAATGCATGCTAATGTGCAAAGAGAAAGAACCTTGAGAGTTTAAACTAGCTGCAACAGAAAAAAAAATCTTTATCCAGATATGTGGTCCCTCATGAATTATACTATTATTTTAGTTGATTTTACCTGACATTACCGTATGATTTTTTTTCCATGATAAGAAAATTGCAGCCAGCCCTTGACAGTTGGTCACAAATTGACCGAACAAAACAAAATCAAACAGTGAAGTAATCCCCAAATAAATTTAATGGAACCTAAATCCCAAAGGGCAGCACACTTCTGTAGGCAATGGTCTTATTTAATAAATTTTTCGCTGCTTTCACTTTTAGAGCTATATTTACGCAGACAAATTTAATTCATTGGGTTTATATTTCCTCTTCCCCTTAGTTTGTCCACCAGGCACATATGGAAAGGACTGTAACCAGGTATGTCAGTGTTCAGCCAAGAATGAGGACTGTCACCCAGTCATAGGGAGATGCACCTGTATGTCTGGCTACCATGGAAACCACTGTCTTCTCTGTATGTGTGTTCTGTGCTCAGCTGTAAGTTATTGAGGAGGCACTGGTGGGGTTGGGGGTCATCACTCGGAATACCAAGGGCAAATGTTAATTGAAGCTTCTAATTCATAGAAAATTCTGTTAGAATTTATATTTGACTAGTTGAAAACATATACTTTCTGTGTAATTCATTCTTCTATTTTGTCTTTTCTATTCAAAATATTCCCAAGTTCTTCACAAGTATCCACCATGGAAAGAAAAAGAATAAAAAAGAGAAAAAAATAAGAAAACATAAACTTATTATTATGAATCAACAAAGAGCAAACTACAATATATTTCAAGTAAGTTAATTCTAGGGTCTGCTTAGGAACAATTAAATTAAGCAAATTGTTATTCTGGAGTGAAAATGATGACTAGCTTAAATGACCAAATGCCAGTTGGCTCCTTATTGTGTAATAAAAAAGAATAGTCCCTAGACCAAGCACCTTACATTGATTTTTTAAAGGATATTTTAACATTGAAAATGGTTATGGAAGAATGCACAAAAAGAGTCCCAAGGAGCATGTTAAAATGTTCAGCCAGCTACTTATTTTTTAAGCTTGTAGTTATTTATAATGTACTTTATATAGATTTAATTTTTCCCCCAACTTGGCGACTGCTGCTCTCTTTCCTCCCTAGTCATTCCTAGAGCAGATTCTTTTTATTTTCCTGAGTCTACAAGGATATGAATAATTTGGGGATTTTTCTCCCTAAACCCAAAATATTGACTCCTTGTCAAGCTATTGATTTTAATTTTCTATAAGCCATTGAGTATATGTTTTAAATATATCTTCCCTATTTTGTCCTAATTTTAAACATTACCAGCTAAAAACACAATTAAGCATGTATGAAAATGGTTTCAATTATTGTTTTGCTTGGGATCTGTAACCGTTGAAGTTATTCAAACTTAAAATGAAGAACTAAAATATAAAATTAATCAATTTCTATTAGTTTTCAGTTTCTTCTTTATATCGAGGATGTTTTATCCTAATAAAATAATATCAAGTTACATGTAACTGGGTTGCACTTTTATTTCAGAAGGCAAGCTACCTTTAGTTGAAGGAGGGTAGCTTTACCTTATAAAAAGTGAGACTGGCTGAGTCAGGGAACTGCTCCCTGACTAGTCAAATTGGCTTATTTCCAGGCAACACGTGGTTGGATGTGGCTGCAAGGATTCCTTGGCAACATCAACTATAATTACAGGACTATGAAAGAAGATTCAAGAAAATATCCATAAAAGGTGTAGCTGGCTTAAAAGCAAAACGTTCAGCAGCCAAGAACAACTGGACTTTCGTGTTCTCGAGTTCGGAATGGAGAATCAAAATTTTCTCTCAGCAGAGGTCAGAGGAAGCAGACAAACTTACAGCAGAATCTCATCACTTGTTCATATTTCAGAGGAGAGGTGGGTCAGTCCTAACTTATGGATAGCATGTAGGAAAAACAATAATTCCTGTTAGATGTAAACTCATAGCGCTATGTACTTTATGATCAATAAGAGATTTTAAAGTGACCACAGACCCTGGAAACCCTTTACTTCTCCAACCTGTATGCAATACGTGCTATTTAAAGTCACTCTCTTTAAGGATATTTAAGGCATTAGAGTCCTCTCTAACTATGGTCACTTCTTTTAACAGTGTTTATGAAAACACCACCACCCTTGGTATAGAATGCTTTGAGAAGCATGGGCCACACAGTATTCGCCAGTGCCAAGAGAAAAATATCAAGACATTTGCAGAAGTTTGGCTTTAACGCTATTGCTCATAGCAATAAAAATTCAAACAGACCAAAAATGTCAGTATCTCCTTTTAAGAATAAAGCAAAACTGCATAACAATGGCTCATGTATCTGAGTAACCTGGTAAAATACTAAGAAAACAGACTGTGGAAAACAGATTCATGCTTTTCATTTCTTGGGAGCTACGTGTCTCAGGATGCAGTCATAGCCTTGTTTGTTTTAAGTTTCTAATGATAGTACCAAAGGCCATTCACATAATAATAGTACACAGTAGCAAAGGGGCTTCCATTTAACCTTTAATGTTTAAACAAATCAGAACTGTAAATTCCTATCCGAACTTCTTGGAATGAGAATTCAAGAGGAGATGTACAAAGATGGGAAAAACAATAGTCACCTTGTAATGGGAAATAACTAAACACACCTTGCCAGAAATACAAAATTTCCAGGGAGAAATGATTATAAATTACAGAGTAAAGGCCAAGTAAAGATCAAAATGGATTTAGGAAATGAGGGAAGGGGTGAGCCAAGTAAAATCATTGTGTCGTTTATGTGCATTTTGTTGTTAAATTTGGCGAACGTTTGAGCAAGTGCTGTGTGCGTGATTCCAGAATTCAGACTTCACATAGCACAGAATTGGACAGGAAAGTGAAATTGTCTATAAAATAATTTACTCTTAGAAAAAAAATGTCATGGGCTCATCTGTAAACACATATCATACTCTTGATACAAATTTAATGGGTTTTGGGACTAAGAGGTTAGCACAGATAGTATCTTTCAAACAGATGGCTCACTCATTAGTAGGTTAATTTCGTTAAGTTCAGTTTCCCAATTTCAAAAGTCGAAGGCTAAAAATCAGGTGATTTTCAAATATATATATATATATATATATATATATATATACACACACACACACACACACACACACACACACACACAAACATATATATATACACACACATGAAGAAAGAACAACAAAGGATGATTCTATCAAATATAAAACTGTCTTTGGAAAATAGGTTCACATCATCGGAAAATTATGTTTTCTAAGTAACTGATTCATATGAAAATTATCTCAAAATCTAGACCTTCACCTATATCAGTTATTTAAATTCATCAATTAAACAAGCTGGTTTTTTTTCTTTCAACTGAGATGCTGATTCTTTGATAGTGTGATTATATCTAAAGCGTAACATTTCCCTCCATTGCAACGTAAGTTTCACTCTTTATTGTGTTGCCCCTTTCCTTACTTGCATAGAAATCCATGTTATCTTTCCCTTCAGAGTAATACCACTGGAGAGTTTTCGATACCAGTGAACTCTTATTAATTTAACCTCCTTTTCTGAAAGCAGTATGTCAGCAGTACACATCAGACCTTAAGTTTCAGTTGCCATATTTTCAGCATGATTTTCAGCATGTTTTATGCATTTTTCTCTAATGTCAAGCAACCAAACATTCTTTTTCAGCATCACATTTATTTTACTGTATTAGTAACTTGATAAAAACTGTAAATACCTATGTTCTCAAAACTGACCCAAATGGATGTGAAAGAAGCATTTTTATATCTTGGTGAAAGATAGAAGAGAAGAAGATGGAGACTTAAAAAAAAATCACTAATTTTTTTTTTAGGTACATCCATTCACTGATTCTGTTTTTAGGTTACACTCAAATTGTTACAAGTGAGAGAGAAAAAAACTACTTGGGAAGACTGAAGAAAAAAATGCTGTGCACCAAAAAGGGTTAATTACCTACGAAAACTGACATCGCTTGATGGGAGGAAATGACTCACAGGAGTGAACGTGGAGTAAACCCACTGTTTTTCACAGAAAGCAATAAAGAAACACAACAGCTGTACAAGTGAATAATCTTTGGTATGAGCAGTTTTAAAGTGTTTGCCTTCCATCTCCATAATGAAGAATTTCATTTTTAACTGGAATGAAAAGGGAGGAAAGAATCAGCCACTCTTGAGTAGATAAGCAAATCTGAGACTCAAGATGAGAATTTTAGGTTTCCAGACAGGATATATGTGGGAATTATAAAAATTTGAATCTCAACACAAACCATTCTTTGGCCATTATTTATCTCTTACACAAGCATCATCATGGTAGGCCATACCTCCCTGAATAAGAAAGTAGAAAATAGAAAAACTAATAGAAAATGAAGAGGCATCCTCTATACTTGGTTCCTTTTTGAATTCTTATGTTTATTAAACCCAGATCATTCCAGACAAGACAAGCTATAACACTTAAATATTTAAAATAATGAATTTATGTATGTTGAAATTAGATAGCCTTGTTCAGTGAATTGTCTCCTAAGCACTTTCAGAATGGAAAAAAATGTTTGCAATCTACCCACCTGACAAAGGGATAATATACAGAATCTATAAAGAACTTAAACAAATTTACAAGAAAAATCAACCCCATCAAAAAGTGGGAAAAGGATATGAACAGACACTTTTCAAAAGAAGACATTTATGCAGCCAACAAACATATGAAAGAAAGCTCATTATCCCTGGTCATTAGAGAAATGCAAATCAAAACCACATTGAGATACCATCTCAGCCCCGTTAGAATGGCGATCATTAAAAAATCAGGAGACAAATGCTGGAGAGGATATGGAGAAATAGGAACACTTTTATACTGTTGGTGGGAGTGTAAATTAGTTCAACCATTGTGGAAGACAGTGTGGTGATTCCTCAAGGATCTAGAAGTAGAACCATTTGACTCAGCAATCCCATTACTGGATATATACCCAAAGGAGTATAAATCATTCTGTTATGAAGACACATGCACATGTGTATTTATTGTGGCATTGTTCGCAATAGCAAAGACTTGGAACCAACACAAATGCCCATCAATGATGGACTGGATAAAGAAACTGTAGCAGATATACACCATGGAATACTGTATAGCCATAAAAAAAGATGAGTTCATGTCCTTTGCAGGGACATGGATGAAGCTGGATACCATCATTCTCAGCAAACTGAACAAAAACAGAAAACCAAACACCACATGTTCTCACTCATAGGTGGGTGTTGAACAATGAGAACACATGGACACAGGGAGGGGAACATTGCACACCAGGGCCTGTCAGAGATGGGAGCGCTAGGGGAGGGATAGCCGGGGCGGAGGGTGGGGTGTTGGGAGGATAGGGGAGGATAACATTGGGAGAAATACCTAATGTAGACGATGGTGGGATGGATGCAGCAAACCACCATGGCACATGTATACCTATGTAACAAACCTGCACATTCTGCACATGTACCCCAGAACTTAAAGTATAATAAAAAATAAAAATAAAAAATAAAAGTAGGTAGATTTACAAGGAAGTGCAAAGTTAAGTTATACCTTACTAATGGGCAGCATCAAATACTAATAATTTCTGTATCATCTCATATCCTCAGATAACTCCATGCCTTGAATCAACAGCTTGAAGGTGACTGAAAATATCAATAGTATTTGGAATGTTGAGTTAACCACATTAATTCTTTGGGTATATACCCAGGAATGGGATTGCTGGCTCAAATGGCGTGTCTACTGGAGTGAATTTAAACACTGTTTGCTGTAAGTTACAATACCACATATGGTTTTGTTCTCCTTTAACAGGATGCCCAAGAGTCATGTTTAGTCCATATTGCCAAAAGATGTGTAAGTCCCTGAATGGTGGCATCTGTGACACCATGATTGGCACCTGTATCTGCCTTCCTGGCTTCACTGGGGCTGACTCAAGTCAAAGTAAGTTATTCTTACCATGATGGAGTGGATATGCTGATCATTCCAAGGCCCAATAATGGTAGCAAAGGTACTAAAAGCTAACTGGAGTTTTTAAGAACTGCAGTTAAAGAATATATGTTGTTGCAATTATTTTACTTCCTAATTTACAGTACTAACAGCAAACACAAGCTGACCTAAATTCTAGGTTGAAGAATATTTATGTAGGAGTTTGGCTAAAAGCTGAAGTCAGTGAAAGTAGCCAAGGAGATCTTTTTGGTGATAACTCCCTTGCCCCAGCAATGTTAGACTCAAGTCAGTATTAGAAAATATGTTGCCAAGATCAGAGCAAACTTGAGATTTTTGTGTTCACAATGTCAAACTCATTGTCTAAAGTTCCACAATTTCATTTATGCTTAGTGATTCCCTAGCTCAAAAGTAAGTGGTTTCACTCCTCACCAAAAAGTGAACAGTTTCCTAAAAGCCAAAGACCTTAAATTAACTACTTATCACAAAAGCAACTATTGCCATAAAGTTTAAGGCACTGGATTGAAGAACCCTTACAAATTCACAGGCTTAGACACTCTGAGGTTTTAGATACCAAGTATATTTTCTTTTTGTTATTTTTCGGATGTGCCATTTAAAAAATATATATATAGTTTTTGCTTAACCCAAATAACTACACATACTCATATACTCTGACTCCTCTGACTCTTCTGGTGACAGTCAAAATGAAACTCTCACATGTGAAGCCACAATTATGATGGTTTCTAGGGAGGATAAAGGAAGCAATGAGCAGGGGAGCACATTGTCGGAGAGTCCGTCCTGGCAATACTGAATTTTTGACATGAGTGCTATGAATGAGGATGTTCACTTTGTGATCATCCATTGAACTGAGTATTGTGTTTTTTGCTTTATTCTGTAATCTTATACCTCACAATTAAAAGAGAAAAGTACCTCCAATAGATCTTAAACTAAAGATGGAAGTACTGCCTCAACCCTCATCCATGTACACGCACCTCAACATCTATGAAGTAGATTATGAAATACCTTCATTTGCTATTCCTTCACTTGGATGAATGATAGCTACGTTTGTAATTTAGGGTACTAAACTGTTATGTGCTAAAGATACCCAAAATGCTTATGCTTCCTGGGCAGCTAATTGCTTTGCCTGCTTTGTAGGAGGGTAATTTTTCTGTTTAAGTGCCCTGCAGGCCTCAGCACTCTGCTGTGTTGAGAATAAGAGACAAGAGAAAACCTGGCTCCAGGTAGCATTCAACTGACACTTAGTGGATAGTGCCTCCTGAGGCCTCAACTGGCAAGTTGTCTTTCAGTTAAAGCCAACCTATAAACATTTCTTAAGCCAGGTTCTGTCTGCCCTTTGCATTTGTTCTTCAAAGAGAGTAAGTGGAAGAAATGTCCTCCTGCCAAGCATTTTCAAAAGCTGTGATTTCTGGGAACGCTGGGGGTACTTTTGTCTTCAGAAAGTTGTGATCTTGTACCTGAGCACTTTCCATTTGCTTTCACAGCTAAGTAGGATAGAGCCAAATTTGCAATCCACCTCTTAAATGTTCCAAAAAATATGATACTTATTTTATATTATGACTGCATTTTCCCCTTATGTGATTCTCAACAGATATTTATTTTATCTTTGTGTGTTATATATATTTTGGTAAGCAACTCGATGAATTTGTGGAATGAAGTTGCAAAAAAATAACCAAATTAATAATGTAAATATATAAATGAATATTTGAAGATATGAGCATTATGAATCTTATATTTGTGTATAGGAACTTTAGCTAAAATTATAGAATGGGCTTTAAGAGAACATACTTAAGATTATTACAAATATATGTTTGTAATACATATAATATACATACATATATTGTATAACGTATGTACACATACCTAAATATGTTATATAACATACATGTACACATAATGTACCTACATATATTATGTAATATATAATATATGTAATATACATACACCACATGCATATATGTGTAATATATACATAGGCATACACATACACACATACTCTCTCTTACACTTGCTAAGACACTTTGCTTTGGCAAAGCAAAGCAATCCAAATTGGGAACAGTTGAGGCCCCTAATGGGTAAGAGACATTTATATTATATGTAAGTTTTTGACACTAGATATTTGGTTGAAAATTCCTAACACCAACTAAAATGGCTCTATGTAGCAACAATTTAAACAGTCCCTTGTTTTGCTTTGTTTATTTCTAAGCAACCTTTCAGACTGAAAATCAAACTAACAGCAAGTCAGTAAAACCTATTTGATTAAATGAAAATGCCATGTATTTCACAAGTTTAAAAAAAAAATCTTGTCTGGAAAAATATTTAATAAGAAAAATCTGGTTTTGTTTTGCTCTGGTTTATTTTGCTCTTACTTGCTGCTTGTCCTGAAGATCGCCATGGGCAGGACTGTGTTCGACGGTGCTCCTGTGGCTCAGGACAGTGTGACCCAATGACTGGAGTGTGTCACTCTCCACCTGGCCAAATGGGAACCAGGTGTCAGGAAGGTAAAAATGATGGCAGGGTCACTTTCTATGTCCAACCACTACGTTAGCTACGCAGCGAAAGCAGATTTGGTGCCAAGGAAGATAACTATATGGGCAATATTTACAACAGTTTTTTTCTTTTAATGTGAGTTTCAAATAACATGAAAGTGCATGCTCCCATAGTGCTATATAGAAAATAGCTTCCTGGAAGATAAGCATAAATTGGAAAAAAAGGTAAATAATAACTTATGCATACTCTTGACTAAGAAAAAATTTTTAGATAACATTTATTAACTTTTATAAAACTGCCAAAAATTGTGTGTTGGAGATATCTAATTATAAGAACTAAAGAATGTTATATCCTCTTCAACGAGGATGAACCTGAAGAGGCTCCCTGAGATCTATACAAAAAATGGGAGACAAAGAGAAAAACACAATCTGTTGAAAACTGCAAAACTTTCTTCACCTAATTGTAATAGTTATTATTACTATCATAAGGAGAGAAGAGCTGTCAAGTTTCAGAAAACAGGGATTTTTAGGGAGAATAATGGGCCCCTACAAATCCAAAGTAGGGCCAGCAGAGCAGCCCCTTCTCCATGGCACACACAGAGAGCAAAACTAAGGACACTTTCCTGAAAAATAAGGATTGCGTCAATAGAAGGGCTATAAAAACTTCTCTGAATCCCACTGAACATCTTAGAGTGGAAAAAAACTGGAAAAAAAAAAAACAAGAATTGCACAGACATACCATGTTTTTAAATTTTCACTAGGACAGAAAGAAATTTGTGGGTAGTTAGCAGCCTGATAACTAAAGGGGAGCTAAACACACACACACACACATTATACATACATACATACATACATACATACACACACACACACACACACACACGCATGCATCCCACATGCTGTGTTATATGGAGCTGCACTCTGGATGAAGAAGGTTTTCTTTTAACTAAGATCATTTTTCTAAGCCTAAATCAATACTACCCTTCCAGAAATACCTAGTACATTGCAAAATGAAGCTTGTGCATAAAATACTCCTCTCATTTTACAAACAAAAAAAATGAAACCATTCAACGCTTCCCTTGCTTTTTTAGTGCAAATTCTGTAAGAAGGAAAAATGAGAAAAGGAATATGGAAAAGAAAAGGCAGATGAACCAAGAGCAGAAAAGTTTTGCCATGGAGCACATGAAGATATTAACTAGAATCTCTTCCAAGAATTCAGAGGATGTAATGAAAAAGTGTTCTCTATAAAATGTGAGTGCAGTGCAGAGATACAAGGGTTCATGGAATAAATGAAAAGACAACAAAAGGAAATGAAAAAGTAAGCTGGCAGAGCTCAAAAAAGAAGTGGAAATGAAAATTAAACCTCACATCACATAAATGAAGGCCATATTGGGAGCAGGTAAAAAAAGGACAGAATCTGCTGATAGTACAGCCAGGTTAAAAAAAAAAAATGAGGAAAGTGAAAATGATGAAATGGAAAAGAAATGAGAAAGAAATGTATAATTGGAAGAGGAAAATATTTAGATATACTATTCAAGATTCTTTCTTTGAAAGAAAAGATCTGGTGCTGCATATTAAATTGAGTATATTTTATCCCAGGAAATAATAGTTACAGTGTCTGAAAGGCAAGGGGAAACTCCATTGAGGATATCAGGAAATGTATGAGTTTACTTAAGAGGAGAAAAATCAGTCTGACTTTTTACCTCACAGCAATATTCATTACTAACATACAGCTAATCAATGCCTATTAAGTTCATGAGGAAAAAATGTGACAGGTATTTTATACACAGTTAAGCTGTTATTCAAATATAATATGGTGGCAAATTAACCACTTTTTTAAAGTTGCTGGAAGTACAGTAGCCTTAAAATATTCTGAAGAAACTATTGCAAGATTAATTTGAGCAGCCAAATAATAAATGAGACATATCTGATAAAAAGACTATTAGTAAACATTAAATTCATCATAATTAAGGCTAAGTTTAAAACAATTGTGAAAATTTTCCTACATGATGGAATATAAATATTATAAATTATAACAATTTTAAAATAGCTCTAACAAGGCATAAACTGGAAAGACAGAGAATGCGAAGGAGTATAGTTATACTGATTTTATTTCCTCATTAAAGTTTGTGGGGTATGTGGGATAGATCTGTGTCAAAACATATTGTTTAAATATAACAATTCAATAAGTATGTTTAAGTGTATAAAGGTACATTCTAGAATTTAGAATGCTTCAATTGAGATTTTAAGAATAAAAATACAGCCAACTAAAATCAGGTGGAGAGAAATGAAAAAAAAAAAGAGAAAGCATATCAATTTCAATACCATTTATACTGAGTTAACACATACTAAATAATGAAATTTATTATATTATGTAATATCTGAACTATCTAAGAGGATTCCATAAATTATGTAAGACTATATTTATAATATAAGTACGTAGAGAACATGTAGAGAACAATGGAGTGCACACACCTTTTCCTATTGCTCTCTCTTAACATAGTAAAAATTCCATACAATGTAGAAAATAAACCTAAGTCTCCGAAATATGAAGAAAAGAAAGCAGATTAGATAAGAACCTTAGAAATCTAGGAAACAGCATGATGGTAAGTTCCCTGGTTTTGTTTTGTTTTGTTTTGTTTGTCTCATATATCCCAGATTGGGTGCTGGAGAAACCTACAACCCAGGGAGGCCAATGGGTGGAGACAAAGATCTAAGATACCTCTGATTTCTCTAGTCAAAGGACAGGAAAGGCGGCAGTCTAGCAAGGCAGAAAACTTTTAGAAAATAACTGGTCTTCTTCAGGCAAACACTATGAAACGAAACTGTATCCTCAACCCCAATCCCATTAGCAAGGGCCAAAAGAGGAGTACACTTCAAACCCCATCTTGATGCAAGAAGATACCCCTCTCTACCCCACAAACCAGGATTGTGTAAAAAAAAAAAAAAAAAAAAAAAAAAAAAAAAAAAAAAAAAAAAAAAAAAAAAAAAAAAGGCAAAGAATAATAAAAGACATTAAGATGTACCAAGTGGAAATTTTAAAAATGGAAAATAAAATCACCAAAATAAAATCTCAGTGGATGAGTTCAACAGCAGAATGGAGTGGACAGAGGAACAAACCAATGAACTTGAAGGAATGATGGAAATAACCCAATCTGAACAACAAAGAGAGAAAAAATAGCAACCAACACACACACACAGCCTCAGAGACCTGTAGTACTATAACCAAGTATCTACTATTTATGTCATCTGAGTCCCAGAAGAGGAAAAAGAGGGTGGAGATGAAAAAATATAGGGAATAATTGTTGAAAATTTTCTGAATGTGACAAGAAAGATAAACCTACAGATTGAGGAAGCTATGTTAATGCCAAACAAGATAAACTCAAAGAAACCTACCAAAGTCATATCAACATAATTTAACTAATATATATTAATATATGTTAAACAATATATCAATTTATTTTATTTCATATATCAATTTATCAAATAAATTGATATATGAAATATAATCTATATTTTTTTGGAGATGGAGTTTTGCTCTTGTTGCCTGGGCTGGAGTGCAGTGGTATGATCTCAGCTCACTGCAATCTCCACCTCCGAGGTTCAAGCAATTTTCCTAACTCCTACAAAGTAGCTAGGCTTATAGGCATGTGCCACAACACCCAGCTCATTTTTTGTATTTTTAGTAGAGATGGGGTTTCTCCACGTTTATCAGTCTGGTCCCAAACTTGTGACCTCAGGTGATCTGCCTGCCTTGTCCTCCCAGAGTGCTGTGATTACAGGTGTGAGCCATCAGGCATGCCATTATCTATATTTTAATTCAATTAATAAATATTGAATGAAACATTAATTTAAATATGAATAATTTACATATGAATATATAAATATATATTTGATTTTGAAGGTTGATATTGATAATTCTTTTGTAGATAGGTGTTGAGAGAGAAACAATGCCTTAGCTACAGAAGAAGTACAAATAGAATAATGGAATGACAGCAAATTTCTCATCAAAAATCAATGAAGGGGTGTAACATATCAGAAGTGCCAAAAAAAAAAAAAATCTATCAAACCAGAATCATATATCCAGCAAAACACACACACACACACACACACACACACACACACACACATATATATATATATGTTTTTAAGAATGGAAAGAAGATTTTTTAAAAATCTCAGATGAAGGAAAACAGAGAGTTTGTTGCTAGCAGTAACCTAAAAGAACCTGGAAACCAAAAGAAAATGACCAAGAAAGAATCTTCAAACATCAGGAAAGTCAGAATTCATAAAAGATAGAGTAAACATATAGCAACACAAACTATTTTTCTTTTCCTCTTAAGTTTTCTAGCTTATACTTGGCAGATGAAGCAAAAACTATGACACTGATATAGTTTATCAATGTATACAGAAAAAAATATTTGATGATTTATTATAAATGAGAAGAGTAAAGGGATAGAAAGGTTAGGTTTCTACACATCATTTAAGCTGGTAGAATATTGACTCAGTGGACTATGAGAAGTCATGTGTGTATAAGGTAATACCTAAAGGAATACCTAAAAATCTATATAAACGGATATGCTGGAAAACACTCTAGATTAATAAATATTATATTTAAAAATGTTTAATACAAAAAAAATCTGGAAAAAGAGAAAGAAAAATGGAACAAATTGAAATCAAAGAAAATAGTGAATTTAATAGACCACCAATTACATTAAATTATTTTAATAAGACCTGATATTGATTCTGCTTAATTTGCCCTATTGGCAAAAAGTAAAAGGATTTAATTCAAGGTAGTCTATTACACATGTAATAATGACTCAACCATTAATTGTACAACTGTAACTGCTATTTAAGTAACAAAATCAAACTTTTATTTTCATTTGGTACTAGAAGTCAGTGCAGCTAGTCACTCAGATAAAAGCAATAAAGAACGTGTCATGCAGATTGAATTCTTGTACCTGCTCTGCTGTGCATCAACCAATGCCTTTGGGCAAGTTAAAAAAAAAAAAGTCTAACTTTTTTTTCTGCTTGCTGGACTATAAAAATTTCTCTAATGTTTCCCTGGCTAGCTGGAATTTAAAAAATTACTCTAAGGTCAGTTAATGCTAGTTGGAATAGAAATAATTTGGTTGGAAGTCAGATATTCTAGATTTCAATCTTAGTTCTTATTCTTACGGGCTGTTTAAGTTTGAGCAAGACTTTAGACTCTGAGCTTCAGTTTTCTCAAGAGTAAAATAAGAATAATGCTACCCACATCATAGGGGTATTTTTTTTTTTAGTATTAAATGAGATAATCCATGTGGAAAGTATTATTAGGTAAAAATACTATAAACTACAGGTCATAAATGGCAGGCTGTTGGCCAAATGTAGCCACAAATATGTTTGAATTGGCTGTCATAGTTTTGGCTTTTAGCAGAGCTATAAAACAATTTTAATTAGTCGTCAACTTTCAAGGATTTGTTAATTTCACATAAAATATGGATTTCTCAGTTTTCCTTAAAAAGTCAGATTAGCTAGCAATATTGGCTTTGCATTCTTTATGGCAAAAGCAACAAAATGCAAGTCTGATTCTCGCCTTGGAGGGGCTTTGCACTCCTGTCGGTTGCACTTCCCATCATTCAATTATCTCCTCATTGACACTTAAGAAGGAGAGACTCAGTTTTCCTGGTCTGGTCAGTTTCATTCACTTGTGTCTTAATTCCTCTTGATAGTGCATTTTAGTTTGTGTCACCCACCTCTGTAAGTTAAAATGCTTTTTACCATTTCAGTAACTTGAAAGCAAACTGCTCATTTTTCTTCTTTATCAGTCATGAGACTAAATATATAAAATCTTCTCATTCCTAGTCATCTGGGATTGACTGCTCCTTCTTTACAATGGTCTCTGCAGGTCCCAGTATATCAAGCACATAGTATTAATCAATATTTATGGAGTGAATAAAAAATGAATGAATGAATGAAAGTCATGTATTTGCTACTTTACAGATAACATGTGAGTAGTTCTTTGTCTTAATTTTAACATTTCTTATGCTTTTGCTATTTAGGTATGGTTACTGCATCTGAAGTAGAGAAAAATGTTTTTCCTTCCCGGTGCGATGGCTCATGCCTGTAATCCCAGAACTTTGGGAGCCAAGGTAGTTCGATCACCTGAAGTCAGGAGTTCAAGACCAGCCTGGCCAACATGGTAAAACCCCATCTTTATTAAGAATACACAAATTAGCCAGGTATAATAGCATTCACCTGTAATCCAAGCTACTCAGGAAGCTGACACAGGAGAATTGCTTAAACCTGGGAGGCAGAGGTTGCAATGAGCCAAGATCACAGCACTGCACTCCATCCTGGGCAACAGAGCGAGACTCCATCTCAAGAAAAAATAAAAGAAAACAAAGAAAAATATCATTTTTGTTATTTTATTTAAAATAAAAATTACAAGTTGTCCCGAGATAAGATATGGCCCCAATTGTCAGCTAAAATGTACTTGTAAAAATAGTGGCCTTTGCAGTTCTGCAGATGGAAGGTATATCTGTGGCCTGGGTGCACAGAAAATTATTGTGAAAAAGGCAAGTTGATTCATTGCCTTTTTTCCTTCAATAAAGATCTACTTTAGCCTGCGAGTGGTGGCTCATGCCTGTAATACCAGCACTTTGGGTGGCCGAGGCAGGAGGATCATGAGGTCAGGAGATCAAGGCCATTCTGGCCAACACGGTGAAATCCTGTCTCT